AAATGTATAAACGAACAATAGTTAGATTAATATTGATCAGAGTGCACAATAGAAATAACATAATTGAGAGAAGAAAAATAGATATGTTATCTATCAAAACCCAGTTAGATTAACATTCATTGGATTGCACACTTTGTGTGTTTGTGTGGATATGCAGCACATTAACATTTCAATAGCACTTAATGACTGACTGAATGGAAATGACAATAAATGAAAATGTAAAACGAAAAAAGCGATCATGAAAATGTTTCCAATAAATGAATAAAATGATTTTTGACCACTTTGTTGTTCTCAAATCAAGAAGTATCAGATCAGTGCATGCGCTGCATCGTCCAATCAGTGAGCGATACACAGTAAGGGGGCGCGGCGAGTGTCTGAGGATTTCATCGGCGGATGGACTGGTGGTTCCTCGATTATCGCTACTCCATTATCGCTCCTCGATCCTCCGGCAGAAATAAGAGCCATGGGACGGTACTCAAGATGGCGCAGACAAATCAACTTCCTGTGAGACCGAGGACTGAGGAGCGAGGAAATGAAAATAGTCGACCTGAGACCTGAGTGTCAGTCCATGTGAGGACCATCTGACCCCTAAACAGGAACACGTTTTACTCTTATGTGAGTTCTCTTATTGTAGCAGTGATTAAGGTTTGAAATGAATTCTGTTTAATTCAAAGGAAATGGTAGTTTGTAGGTTTTATGGGATCTAGTTAATTTTCTGTAATCTTTGTACTAGCACGGCACGATATTGGAAAAAACGGACATTGAGATTTCCCCCCCCCCCGCGATATAAATTGCGATATGAAAACATGCAGGAATTGAAGAAAAGACCGTTTTTTCCCCCGCAAACTTTCTTGAACTTTAATGCCATACAATTGGTATTTTTTTAACTATATTTAACCGGATGAAGGAGTTTAGTCACGGACGTCTGGATCTTAAGTTATCAGAGCAACAAGCTGAGCTAGCTCGGTTAGCAGCGCCGAACTGGAGAAACACATGAAACCACTTTATTCAGTGTTTCTACCTTTAATCACGGGGTCCGTTTGCTTTGGAGATTTGATCGGTGGTTTGCTGTCACTCACTCAAGAACCCTGACATGAGAGCTGCGCAAGTTTTCCTTTTGTAGCAAGCAGCAAAATAATTGTAACATGACGTGTTTGAGTTAATTTGCCTACTTAATATCGCAAGTCCTAAAAAAAAAATTAAAAAGATTAAAAAAAAAAAGAAGAAATTAAGAATGTTTTTTTTTTTAAATCGTCACGTCCTGCGATGTGAATATCGCACATGCGCATATCGCGGTTATCGTCACGACACGATATATCGTGCAGCCCTACTTTGTACCCTTTGTTTGTTTAGAGTCATGTTCTGTATAGTAACCCAAAGCAGTACACACATGTTAGAAATCTCTTCTTTTCTGCAGGCAAATGGCCATTTTCTGTCCATATTAGGACCTGAACAGGAAGGGGAGGGATTTGAAACGTAGGAGAAAATGTCCCACTAAAAAGGAACTGTGTTTATATACATCTGAAGTGTGGTATTGGGTTTGTGCTTTTGGAAGTTGACAATTTAGACTCTGAATAGTACTCATCCTAGTATTAGGAGCTATATCTGACCCTAGAAACCCAAAACGGGACACACATTATTTTTGCACGCAAATGGCAATTTGTTGTCCATGTGAACCCTACACATGAAGGGGAGGGCTTGGAAAGTAGGAAAAATGTGCAACTTAGATTAAAGATGAGCTGTGCTATGGGTTTAGACTTTTGTTAGGTTGTAACTGCACCAACTCAGACTCTGAATAGTACCCATCCTATTAGGAGCTGTTTGTGTATATATGAGGGGTTTCTGTCAGTAAATGATCAGGTTCCACCAAGATTTGGACTCGGATCGCTGGAGTCAGAGTCCAGAGTGCTAACCATTACACCATGGAACCATGCTGTCACGGCTGTATTGCACTTTGTTTGTGCCAACTATTGAACTGTGTGCTTTGGTATATTCTGGGTTCAGCCTTCTTCTAGTGCTCACAGTATCTGAACCAATAGTCCATTGGGTTTTGCCCCCCATTTCTTACAGTGAAGTTTTGCTATGATGGTCAGTATGAATGAATACTCAGAAATACCTGACCCTATAAACCCAAAACAAGACACACATGTTAGAAATCTCTCTTCTGAAGGCAAATGGCCATTTCAGTCGATCCTCTGAACCCTAAAGCGGAGTGGGAGGGATTGTGCTTCTGTTTTGATCAGACATTCAATCTGATTATTTTCACCCCAGCATTGCCAATAGAAATATTTTCCCCATTGTCCTTTTGGGTTGAATGTTTAGTCTGGATTTCCTTGCTAACCCACAATGTTTGGCTAAAACGTGTTTGTTTTCATGTCTGCCAACGAGTCATGTACTGTATATCTAGCAACTCAGAACAAGACACACATTAATTTCTGCAGACAAATGGCCATTTTTGGTCCATGTGAGGACCATCTGAACCCTAAGCAGGAGGGGGAAGGATTGGAAAAGTTGAAAAACTTAGACTCTTATTTAAGTTTTCTTACTGCATATGCAGAGATAAAGGTTTGGCATGGATGCTGTACAGTTCGAGGGAGAGGGTAGTTGTGTATCTGTCATTATCAGACATTTAAACTGGTTATTTTCACACCCAGCATGCCCATAGCAATCTTTTGACCCCATTGTCCTGAATGTTGAGTCTGGATTGCCAACGTTCGGCTAAAACCTGTGTTTTTTTCACGCCTGCCAACGTGTCATGTACTGTATATATACAGTAACTCCAGATGAGGTCACCGTCACCACATTTCCAGTCATTATCATGTTCCATGACTTCAGCCTTTTTACAGTTTTATCCCCTGCAGTCCAGACCTCGATACCTCAAACCGGATTGAGCAATGTGGTTTATCTCTGGGAGGAAATAGCAGAGGGCAAGTAGACAGATGGTTTGTACCTTTCACTCCGCTGCCCTTCCCTGGAGGCAAAACGCCAATTTAGGAAACCACTACTTTGTCATTATTTGAAGTGTAGGTTTGTTTTTTGGCTGTATATGAGAGAGAAGTATCGTCCCATCTGTGGAGCAAAGCAACGTCCAACCCCCCCTAAACCAGCCAGACTGAAATGCCTCCACTCAGTCACGTAGCAAAAGAATGTGGGTTGGTCTACTGGAGAGGAAAATGTTTATTTAAGCGCTGCAAATAGTCTGAGAGGAAAAGCTCCGAGCTGGTTTTTGATGGCCTCACACTGACTGTGAACTAACAAACTCTGGCTCACTATTCTTTTCCTACATAGATAAACTCTTTATCGGTCCATCAAAGTTACAAACCAAGATGGAAAACTGTTGAATTGGCCAATGTACATCTGATATTTGTGGACATTAGTTTGTGTGTTGAAGGGTTAGGGTTTGATATTAAACCCCAGAAAAGTTCATTCCAGGTTTACATATCTTCAGATGCTTCACTCCTACAGCCATGATGTTTTTGTAGCTTAACAGACACATTGGTGTACGACTCATAGAAATGATTCAAAGGCACAAGCAGATGTCATATATTTCAGCACTGGCCCTTGAAATTGTAAAACATTTACAAAATAGGTGTTTTTGGGGCCTGAGGAAGTTACTAAAAGCACATCGATGCTACAATATTGCCTGCTTAAAATATAGTTTTTTAAATGATCTGGCCAAATGTAGATTGTAGTGGGCAAGGTGCTGCCAATTCCCTATCCTGTTGTCTATATATTGAACAGGTTTTTACGCCATAAAGCAAAATAATGGGCTAAAAGGTGCTAAAACGCCCAATAAACTAAGGGGGACTGTAGTTTTGTGTAAACTTAATTGTACATCCGTCCTTACTTCTCCTCCCACTTACATTAAACACATCTAACTGATGCATTTTTAACAGAAAACTGTTTTAATTACTCAGCAGGTAAATCTGGGTTTGGTTGATTGATGTTGTGCAACAGTGACACATTTAAGGCCAAAATAACTTCAGTATAAGTAGTATGTTAGTGACCCAGTGTCTGTGGTTAAAGATGAAGTAGTGGTGGAAATAAATGTCAGTCTCCTAATTACCTCCTACTTCATGTGCACTCAAAATGCTGTTTTAGTGCTTTTTCTGACTGGTGCTTTCCAGCGACACACTGTAACGTTTTGCACGTGTTACCTTCAGCAGGGGGTCACGGTGTTAAGCATTAATAAAAGGAATCGGCGGCGAAATGTTTGGGCAATCTGGAAAAGATTTACAAGCAGACGCAAAAGCTGGGGGTCTTTGCATGTTACGTAACACAGGAAATACTGTTTCCAGACGCACGTATGGCCTGTTCACATCAGAGTGCATCGAGGCAGAACATGGAAACTAATACATTCCTCAAATTAACTCCAGTTTGTTCACTATGAATGAACTAGAGTGGGAATTAATTACACATAAACCGTATTATAAATGATATACACCGATGGCATAAACAGGTATTTCGTCTGTGATCAAAACAAGTTAGATAAGGAATAGGAACAAATAGGAATATTGCAGGAAAGCTCAAAATGTATACATAATACAGATATATACGGAAATAAATGAGGATTTGTTATGAATATATATAAAAAATTAGCATCAGGATACTTTATTTATCCCGGGGGAACTTAGGTTTTCTGACCGTTGCTCCATTTTAGAGTAACGCAATTGTATAGACAATAGAAGATGATGTAAAAATGTGTGATAAAACTATCCAAAAAATGTAATAAAAAGAGTAAAAATAATAATATATATAATCATTATAATTTAAAGCAAAAATATGCATTAAGAATTTAAAATAAAATCCAAATGTTTATTTAGAAATAAAAGTTTAAAGTCAAAATGTGCAATAAAAGCATGAAATACAATTGAATAAATAGATGAACATATGCCAATATACAGTATATACGAGTCCAAAGTAGGTACATACAGTACATCTTGACATATATACATATTTGATTGACTTATTTGCACCTCTCTCAATGTTTCTGTCCACAGAACATGGATATCCAGGTGGAGGATGTGCGCATCCGAGCCATCCTGTCCTCGTACAGGAAGCGGATCCCGATGACGGAGGGCTACGTGGAGGTGAAGGACGGTGGGAAATGGAAACAAATCTGTAACACGGAGTGGTCTCCGCTGAACGCCCGAGTCATCTGCGGCATGTTCGGCTTCCCCGGAGAGAGAAAGTACAACGGCCAGGGTCTACAAGTGAGTACAACTGTAACGTATTTGGTAGAGCTGTACCACAAAAGTTCAAACCATTGAAGCTTTAATGTAAGACCAGCTGCAGGAATGAGTCCCTAAAACTTAGCATTTGAGTACTTTGTGTTCCCTGGTCTGAAAGTCAAATGGTTTCTGAATGGTTTTTGGTTGTTATCCTGAAATAAGGTCTGTGGTTAACACAAGCTGAAGAGATTTTTGTTCACGACATGTAATACATCAGAAATACCCCACTGGTGAATTTAAAAACAGTGGTCGCTAACAAGTGTCTAAATGAGACGAATAAACGTCATCACGCCCAACATTAGCCACCTTTAGCTTAGCGGTGGTGACGTGAAGTCATGTGACCGTGCTGTAGTTTCCTTTATAGCCCAACATTAGCCACCTTTAGCTTAGCGGTGGTGACGTGAAGTCATGTGACCGTGCTGTAGTTTCCTTATAGCCCAACATTAGCCACTTTTAGCTTAGCGGTGGTGACGTGAAGTCATGTGACCGTGCTGTAGTTCCTTTATAGCCCAACATTAGCCTCCTTTAGCTTAGCGGTGGTGACGTGAAGTCATGTGACCGTGCAGTAGTTCCTTTATAGCCCAACATTAGCCACCTTTAGCTTAGCGGTAGTGACGTGAAGTCATGTGACCGTGCTGTAGTTCCTTTATAGCCCAATATTAGCCACCTTTAGCTTAGCGGTGGTGACGTGAAGTCATGTGGCCGTGCTGTAATTCCTTTATAGCCCAACATTAGCCTCCTTTAGCTTAGCGGTGGTGACGTGAAGTCGTGTGAACGTGCTGTAGTTCCTTTATAGCCCAACATTAGCCACCTTTAGCTTAGCGGTGGTGACGTGAAGTCATGTGACCGTGCTGTAGTTCCTTTATAGCCCAACATTAGCCTCCTTTAGCTTAGCGGTGGTGACGTGAAGTCATGTGACCGTGCTGTAGTTCCTTTATAGCCCAATATTAGCCACCTTTAGCTTAGCGGTGGTGACGTGAAGTCATGTGGCCGTGCTGTAGTTCCTTTATAGCCCAACATTAGCCACCTATAGCTTAGCGGTGGTGACGTGAAGTCATGTGAACGTGCTGTAGTTCCTTTATAGCCCAACATTAGCCACCTTTAGCTTAGCGGTGGTGACCTGAAGTCATGTGACCGTGCTGTAGTTCCTTTATAGCCCAACATTAAGCCACCTTTAGCTTAGTGGTGGTGACCTGAAGTCATGTGACCCGACCGTGCTGTAGTTCCATCTATAGCCCAACATTAGCCTCCTTTAGCTTAGCGGTGGTGACGTGAAGTCATGTGACCGTGCTATAGTTCCTTTATAGCCCAACATTAGCCTCCTTTAGCTTAGCGGTGGTGACCTGAAGTCATGTGACCGTGCTGTAGTTCCTTTATAGCCCAACATTAGCCTCCTTTAGCTTAGCGGTGGTGAAGTCATGTGAACGTGCTGTAGTTCCTTTATAGCCCAACATTAGCCACCTTTAGGTTAGCGGTGGTGACGTGAAGTCATGTGACCGTGCTGTAGTTCCTTTATAGCCCAACATTAGCCACCTTTAGCTTAGCGGTGGTGACGTGAAGTCATGTGAACATGCTGTAGTTCCTTTATAGCCCAACATTAGCCACCTTTAGCTTAGCGGTGGTGACGTGAAGTCATGTGACCGTGCTGTAGTTCCTTTATAGCCCAACATTAGCCTCCTTTAGCTTAGCGGTGGTGACGTGAAGTCATGTGACCGTGCTGTAGTGCCTTTAGCATAACGTTAGCTTTTTACTTGAAAAATCTATTTGTGAGTGTTAATATGCAAAGAAAACATGGTTTCAAAAAAGATGAATTAAACAAAATGGCTCCTACATTATTGTTTTCAGACGGATCCAAACATCCCCAATATATTTAACAATCCAATAAATAAACTGTTGTTATGTCTAAAAGTAAATTTAGTTTGATAAAAGAAGGATGTAATAATGTCTAACGTTCACAACATGTTTTCATTCAACCAAACAATCTGTTTCAGTCCATATTTGTTGGCGCTTTGCCTCAAAAACAACTTTTTTACTGCTATAAAAAACTTCTTGGGCATTGAAGGCGATGAATCACTTTCACAGCCTTAGTATTTCGCAATGATGTGGTCCAACAATGATATACTGTGAATCAGGAGCTGTTTTGTTGCATAACTCAGGGGAGGTGAAAGAAGGTCAATACTGATCTGTTTTGATATCTTACATGTTTTTCAACTCTGAGGAGCAAGATATGGGTGTTTAAGTTTATTTATAGAGAAATGCTGATTTGTATTTTTCCTCAAAACACTTTGCTTTACTTAATGATTATGAGAAATATCTATATCAAACTTCTGCCTTTCCCACGCTAAACCCTAGACAAAACAACACAAGTTAGTCAGGATTCCCTTTCATTTCTCACTATTGTACGGGTTTAAAAACATCATTTGTAGAACTATAATTGGTTTAACCCTGTCAATGTATTTGCTACCCCAGCGTGAAGTATATTTACCCGATGTTTAGCTCTGTCTTAGTCTCCTCCACAGTGTCTTTAGCTTCAAAATGCTCCACTATGTTTCTCTCTGCTGAGTTGTAATCAGGTAGTGTATAGTGGGTTTAGTGTATGTCTTGTGGTTTTTTTCACGAAACTGTGTCTCAGAGCTTCTTAACATTTAACAACCTATTAATGTCTCAACACCCACTTAACGGGAAGAAACTCAGCTAACTGACAATACGAACCATTTTTACCGAAACAAAACACAAGTCTCACAAGAAGCGTCTAAATGAGCCCCTGAGCGAAAAAATGCTAACACACAGAACTCACGGTAAAAATACTTTATTACTTATCGGATCTGCACAAACAAGATATCAGCTAGCAAGCTGAGATTCCACAGATTCTAGATGTATAAGTATCATCACTGAGCGATCAAAACTCGCTACACAGGAAGCAAACCCAGATGATGTAGCCTTTGCTGTTGTTCTGATCAGAAGTTGTGTTCAATGGCATTAAAAACGATAACATCGCTGTTTGAAGTTAATCCATAGGTTAATCCAATGTGTCTGTCACTTTGAATGATTTCTGATAATCCATCAGCAATAAACCTAGTTTTCAGTTTTCAGAGCGTAACATATCTTTCGTCTGTGTGTGCATCACTCTTACTCCTCAATGTAACATGTAGGTGGATTTAGGAACTTCCCCTCGATCCTATTGGCTCTAACGGTTCAAAAGAGGTGTCATCATCAAAATCGACGAGGGGGCCCAGAGATATGGAAAATCCACCCAAATTACCCAAGAAGTGTTTTTTTTTTTCTAAATCTCTCTAAAAATATCAAATATCACTTGTTTTGCATCAATCTTGATACAGGGTACTTATTATATGTTGTACTTTGGATTCCTAAAGCTTTTAGTCTACTAACCCATCATCCAGGTTAGTTTTCACTATAAGTACAACATATATTTTGGACGGACACTATAATTTACAGTTTTTTACCATGTTCAATCTGAATTTTCTTTAATGTAAAAAACATCTATATTGAATCTGACTTTTCTACATCCAACTCACAGGTTTATCATTACTTTGAGAACAAAGATTATTAATTTAACCCTTTTAGAAGATATAGTCATTTGTTCTGGGAATGTCATTTTCGAGCCTGAGACCTGAAAACAGGCTCAGGGCTAAACAGGTTAAAACAGCCTGAGTTGTCTGTTATACAAGTTAAATAAATGGTGAGGCCATAATAAAACCAAAACAATAAGCTGAAAGACTAAATGTGTCAAATAACTGAGATTAATTTAAGCGTTGGATGATTATTCTTTGGGCTTTAATCACTACAAGTAGCTCCTTATACATTATCCACAAAATACTGCTTCAAAAATATGAACCATCTTCACTCAATTGAATTATATGTACCCTATTACCTCTGTTTTGGTCTCTTCCTACGTCCCTATAGCTTCTAAATGCTGCACTATGTTACTGTCTGCTGTCTGCAGCTGAGAAAATATTGAAAAGTGGGTTCATAGGATCTGCCTTTCTAAATAAAACAGCCTGATTTGGCTGGAATACAAGTGGACGAGACAGTAAATGAAACCAGCAAAGTATCGGGCCATAATTGAACCAAAACAACGAGCTGAAAGACACACCATGGCGTCAAAGAACTGAGATTAACTAAAGCGTTGGATGATTATTCTCTGGGGTTTCACTACAAGCAGCCCCTCATACATTACCCTGATCCATTGTTGATATAAAATACTGCTTCAAGAATATGTACCGTGTTTAAACAACACCAGAATATCAATTCAAACAAAACACTTTGATTTATGGTCCCATCCCACAAACCCAGGGCTTTTGGGTCTTATGTTGGTTATGTAATGAGAGATGTCAAGTTATAGTGTGGAAATGATTCGACTGTGCGGTGAGTTACTTTGCCGACCTCATGCTGACACTCGAAACATAAAACATCTCTGTCAGCGTAGATTATTATGGAATGTAATGTATTGCTTTAACCTTTTACCGCCATCTGCTCGCCAACTACATCGTCCATGGACTCCAAGTGTTCGGTCATTTTGGACAAAGGAGACATTTATATTATAATAATCTTGGTTTAATTCACAGCAAGGTACACCCTGAACATATGGAGTGTCCAAGAGAAAAGTGTTTCCAATGTGTGGACCAAATGCTTCGATTCAGAGGCTGTAATAAAATGAAAAACCCAACCTGAATCCTTTATGTTCCACATCAGTGCGTTCCTCAGCGATGTCGTAATGTACGAGTGACTCCCGGGGAGGGATTTGAATCTGTTTACATGGGAGAGCCACAGGTTAATCACTGTTTCAATAAAACATCCAACACTGGAGTTAACCTTCAGTTTACTGCGGGCGGGAAGTTTCCTCTGCGTTAGCTAACCACAGCTGCCTCACTTTCCATCTACGTGTCTGTCAGCACACTCCCATGAAACGTGTGTTTTGTAACAGCGCTGACACAGAGCCAAGCTCTGCTGTAGCTTCACAGTTTCATCATGTTGGTTGCTCCTTTGTTGATGCTCCTGTGAAGCTAATCCAGAGTCCCTTAGGAAAGGCTGGGTTTAAATTGAAATATCTCACCACAGAAGACAGGAAAAATGTAAAGTCTTTACATAAGGTAAGCTAACGTAACGCTAAGCTAACGATATGACATTTAAATCAATCCTGTGTAGCTCATCCAGAGTCCTTTAAGAATACTGGATTCTAATTAAAATGTCTAAATACGGAATTGAAGATTTTGCTGATCTGTCATATTGAGCTATCGTCACACTAAGCTAACATCACTCTAAGCTAACATCACTCTTAGCTAACATCACTCTAAGCTAACATCACGCTAAGTCAGTGGTTCTCAAACTTTTTCTGTCAGGGGCCCCCCCTTTGGAGAAAAAAAAAAAGTCGGGCCCCCCCCAACACAAATAGTCAGGCTCAGTGGCGGCGCCAAAGATTTATTTTGGGGGTACTGTGGGGTAGCTTGACGTTTCATAGAGGGTGCTCAAACATTTAGGGTTTCCCATTAATGTACCGGGCGCTACAGAGGAATGTTCTACTGCAACACTCCCCACGCATACACACAGTGTACCCGCAACTGTTACAATGAAGGCTCGATAATCAGCTCACGGCATATAGGTGTAAGCAGGGGTAAAGTGCTATTTTTATAGGTGGTGTGTGAACCTCACATAGGGGGGTCCGGGGGCAAGCTCCCCCGGGAAGATTTATTTTTAAATATTGAAGTTAAAAGCATCAATCTGGTGCACTTGAAGAGATCTACAGTATGGATACATCTCTCAACACAGAACTGTAAACGGATTTACTATTTCTTTATGGATATTTTACAAATCACTCCCCTTTTAAACGTTATACATTTTGAATGTCATATAGTATTTCATAATTGTTTTTAATTTATTTATATTAATGGTGACCAAAACGTTTGAGACCCATTGAGATAACACTGAGAGTCCTTTAGCTCACTGAGACTCTCAGTCTGACAGGAGAGGACTCTCCTCCACTTTGTTGTTGAAAAAAACTCCTTATATCCGTTAGCGTAGCTCGCTAGCACCAGAAGCTAACATCAACGATCTCCGGTACCGGTGCGCTCTCTCTCTCGCTCGCGCACACACACAAAATGGCTCGTTCCACACACACACAGAGCCGAGCTTTAATGAAACACAGAGACCCAGACGTAATAGTACTGTACTGTATCATATTATTTTTGAATCAATAATTTTTCAAAATATGATTTATTTTTATTTAAAATCTTTTTAATTTTTTTTTTTTAATAACCATTTTTTCTCCTGATCTCTCGCGCCCCCCACTTTGAGAACCACTGCGCTAAGTTAACATCACCCTAAGCTAACATCACGCTAATCAATCGAGCCCCTTGATATATTACACTGGTTGCCGGTCAAGTCCCGCATATCCTACAAAATCCTCCTCCTTTACATTACATTACATTACATTACATTACATTACATTGCATTAGCTGACGCTTTTGTCCAAAGCGACTTACAATAAGTACATTCGACCAGGAAGACACAACCTTGAAGAAAACAGAATCATATAAGTACATCAGGTTTCATAGAGCTAAACATTTCAAGTGCTACTCAACTGGCTTTAGGTAATCCAGTCCTTTATTAGTATAAAAGTGCTTCGTTAATCGTTTCTAACGCTCGAAGTGGAGTCGAAAGAGATGAGTTTTCAGTTTGCGCCGGAAGATGTGCAAGCTATCTGCCGTCCTGATGTCAATGGGGGAGCTCATTCCACCATCTTGGAGCCAGGATAGCAAACCCACGTGTTTTCGCCGATGGGAACTTGGGTCCCCCTCGCAGCGAGGGCGCAACCTACAAATCCCTACAAATCTCCCTCCATGCCCTTGCCCCCCAGTACCTATCGGACATCCTTCAACCCACATGCCCCACCCCGGAACCTGCGGTCCTCAGATTCTGGCCTGCTACCACCACCCCGCACCAAACTGCGAACCTACGGGGACAGAGCCTTCAGTGTGGCAGCCCCCACCCTCTGGAACGCTCTCCCTGCGGAGATAACGCAACATCCCCACACTTGAAGCCTTCAAAAGGGCCTTCAAGTCCCATCTGTTTGCCAGGCTTTCGGCCCCTAAATCGATCTGTTGTTCTGTTTGTCTGTCTTTGTTTTGTTATGTTTGTCTTTGCACTATTACTTGTGAAGCGACCTTGGGTCCCCTGAAAGGCGCTATAGAAATCAAAGCTATTATTATTATTATATTGCATTTATTTTTTACTTAATTTTCAAATGGAACTACTGCCACTAAAAGTAACCCTCCTTGGGCAAGGCAAGTTTATTTATACAGCACTTTTCAACACAAGCCAATTCAAAGTGAAAGACATTAAGAGCATAGAACACATTAGAAACATTAAAAAGTAAAGATAATAAAACATGAATAACAGGTACATGAATGAAAGTTAGTCTTCAGCCTGGATTTAAAAGTAGTTGCAGCGGACCTGCAGGTTTCTGGGAGTTTGTTCCAGATATTTGGAAATATGCCTAACCACATTCTCACATTCCTCTACCCCGAGTCTTCCTCTGAAGTTATAGTTCCTTTGACAGTTTTCTAACCTTTTTATATTCCTTTCATCCTTCTCTTTCATCCATTTTGCATCCCCAGACAACACATGTTCCTGTTTTACTGTTACCGAACCCATCTTTGACCTTTAAACCACTTTCCTTTTCAATTCCCAGAATGATGGTATTTAAACCCGGGTAGAGAAGTCATTCTGCTTCTGTGTGTCTGCAGGATGTTTGCGCGCCGCAGGAAGCCCTCGTACTGGGACTACGCTGTGAACTGCACTGGGAACGAGGCGCACCTCTCCAGCTGTAAACTGGGCCAGGTTTCACCGCTGAAGTCCAATGTGACCTGTGGTGGGGGGCTGCCGGTGGTGGTGAGCTGCGTACCGGGAAGAGACTTCGCCCCCACCCCCATGACGGGGTTCAGGAAGGCCTTCAGACAGGAGGTAGGTTCATCTAAAGCACACACTCAACCAGTGGTGCTTATTTTAAAGGTCTCCTATCAAGCAAAATGCACTTAAAGGTTCCCTATCACACTGTTTCTCATCAATATAGTATAGGTCTCAGATATATCCAGAGCCTGTCTCTGATTGGCTGAAACACCAAACAGATCATTGCAGCTTACCCATAACCCCTCTGTTTCAGCCCTGTTTCCAAAGTGCTGATTCTCTGTCTGTTACTTCAGATGAAAATAAGGAGCCCCTCCCCCACGCCCCTCTGAGAGACATTTGGTTACAAAGAACTCAATGGTGCTCTAGAGGAGATTCAGGTGATAAGGGGGGGGGGGGGGGTACCTTGGTTGCTGATTGGCTAATGGGTTACACAAGACAAAACATCGTTATGACATCATCAAGTGTCCAAAATACATACATACAACGGGACACACGTTGATGTAGAAGAGACATGGAGAAGAGGGGACACATGTTGATGTAGAAGAGACATGAAGAAGAGGGGACACACGTTGATGTAGAAGAGACATGAAGAAGAGGGGACACACGTTGATGTAGAAGAGACATGGAGAAGAGGGACAACGTGTTGATGTAGAAGAGACATGAAGAAGAGGGGACACACGTTGATGTAGAAGAGACATGAAGAAGAGGGGACACATGTTGATGTAGAAGAGACATGAAGAAGAGGGGACACACGTTGATGTAGAAGAGACATGGAGAAGAGGGGACACATGTTGATGTAGAAGAGACATGAAGAAGAGGGGACACATGCTGATGTAGAGGAGACGTGAAGAAGAGGGGACACATGTTGATGTAGAAGAGACATGAAGAAGAGGGGACACACGTTGATGTAGAAGAGACATGAAGAAGAGGAGACACACATTGATGTAGAAGAGACATGAAGAAGAGGGGACACATGTTGATGTAGAAGAGACATGAAGAAGAGGGGACACATGTTGATGTAGAAGAGACATGAAGAAGAGGGGACACATGTTGATGTAGAAGAGACATGGAGAAGGGGGACACGTGTTGATGTAGAAGAGACATGAAGAAGAGGGGACACATGTTGATGTATAAGAGACATGAGAAGAGGGGACACATGTGATGTAGAAGAGACATGAAGAAGAGGGGACACATGTTGATGATAAGAGACATGAAGAAGAGGGGGACACATGTTGATGTAGAAGAGACATGAAGAAGAGGGGACACATGTTGATGTAGAAGAGACATGAAGAAGAGGAGACACATGTTGATGTAGAAGAGACATGAAGAAGAGGGGACACATGTGGATGTAGAAGAGACATGAAGAAGAGGGGACACATGTTGATGTAGAAGAGACATGAAGAAGAGGGGACACATGGTGATGTAGAAGAGACATGAAGAAGAGGGGACACATGTTGATGTAGAGGAGACATGAAGAAGAGGGGACACATGTTGATGAAGAAGAGACATGAAGAAGAGGGGACACATGTTGATGTAGAAGAGACATGGAGAAGAGGGGACACATGTTGATGTAGAAGAGACATGAAGAAGAGGGGACACGTGTTGATGTAGAAGAGACATGAAGAAGAGGGGACACATGTTGATGTAGAAGAGACATGAAGAAGAGGAGACACATGTTGATGTAGAAGAGACATGAAGAAGAGGGGACACATGTTGATGTAGAAGAGACATGAAGAAGAGGGGACACATGTTGATGTAGAAAGAGACATGAAGAAGAGGGACACATGGTGATGTAGAAGAGACATGAAGAAGAGGGGACACATGTTGATGTAGAGGAGACATGAAGAAGAGGGGACACATGTTGATGAAGAAGAGACATGAAGAAGAGGGGACACATGTTGATGTAGAAGAGACATGGAGAAGAGGGGACACATGTTGATGTAGAAGAGACATGAAGAAGAGGGGACACATGTTGATGTAGAAGAGACATGAAGAGAGGAACACTATGTAGAAGAGACATGAAGAAGAGGGGACACATGTTGATGTAGAAGAGACATGAAGAAGAGGGGACACATGTTGATGTAGAAGAGACATGAAGAAGAGGGGACACATGTTGATGTAGAAGAGACATGAAGAAGAGGGGACACATGTTGATGTAGAAGAGACATGAAGAAGAGGGGACACATGTTGATGTAGAAGAGACATGAAGAAGAGGGACACATGTTGATGTAGAAGAGACATGAGAAGAGGGGACACATGTTGATGTAGAAGAGACATGAAGAAGAGGGGACACATGTTGATGTAGAAGAGACATGAAGAAGAGGGGACACATGTTGATGTAGAAGAACATGAGAAGAGGGGACACATGTTGATGTAGAAGAGACATGAAGAAGAGGGGACACATGTTGATGTAGAAGAGACATGGAGAAGAGGGGACACATGTTGATGTAGAAGAGCATGAAGAAGAGGGGACACATGTTGATGTAGAAGAGACATGAAGAAGAGGGGACACATGTTGATGTAGAAGAGACATGAAGAGAGGGACACATGTTGATGTAGAAGACATGAAGAAGAGGGGACACATTTGATGTAGAAGAGACATGGAAAAGGGGACACATGTTGATGTAGAAGAGACATGAAGAAGAGGGGACACGTTGATGTAGAAGAGACATGAAGAAGAGGGGACACATGTTGATGTAGAAGAGACATGAAGAAGAGGGGACAATGTTGATGTAGAAGAGACATGAAGAAGAGGGGACACATGTTGATGTAGAAGAGACATGAAGAAGAGGGGACACATGTTGATGTAGAAGAGACATGAAGAAGAGGGGACACATGTTGATGTAGAAGAGACATGAAGAAGAGGGGACACATGTTGATGGAAGAGACATGAAGAAGAGGGGACACATGCTGATGTAGAAGAGACATGAAGAAGAGGGGACACATGTTGATGTAGAAGAGACATGAAGAAGAGGGACACATGTTGATGTAGAGAGACATGAAGAAGAGGGGACACATGTTTATGTAGAGAGACATGAAGAAGAGGGGACACATGTTGATGTAGAAGAGACATGAAGAAGAGGGGACACATGTTGATGTAGAAGAGACATGAAGAAGAGGGGACACGTGTTGATGTAGAAGAGACATGAAGAAGAGGGACACGTGTTGATGTAGAAGAACATGAAGAAGAGGGGACATGTTGATGTAGAAGAGACATGAAGAAGAGGGACACATGTTGATGTAGAAGAGACATGAAGAAGAGGCGACCATGTTGATGTAGAAGAGACATGAAGAAGAGGGGACACATGTTGATGTAGAAGAGACATGAAGAAGAGGGGACACATGTTGATGTAGAAGAGACATGAAGAAGAGGGGACACATGTTGATGTAGAAGAGACATGAAGAAGAGGGGACACATGTTGATGTAGAAGAGACATGAAGAAGAGGGGACACATGTTGATGTAGAAGAGACATGAAGAAGAGGGGACACATGTTGATGTAGAGA